TGCTTGGAAGGGAAGTTGAAAATCAGTAAGAAATCATTAAAATGCATGACAAAAGTGGAACTGATTATCCCCAGCAGAAAAATCATGTGTGAACAGAAAATGTTGCTATAGTTGGGGCTATAAAGTTAGTGCACGTGGTTTTCTTTTCCTATTAGCCGCTCTTCGGCAAAACTTTGTATAGCACGTAGAAAATCCGTAGTGAAAAAGTACATAGGAATATGTGACAAAATCCCAAATGTGAAATGCTTATTGTTCTTTCTATATTTGTGCTTTCTATTGAACTTTATGTCATAAACGTGACTATATATTTAACGAGTTTCTGAGAGAAAATAGTCCACATTTATTTCCAAGCTACTTATATCCAGGTTTTTAGAAGGGAAGAATTCTTTCTTTTGCAGTATATACAGATGACATAGATAGAGCAAAGCCTCTAAAACTGTGTGCACACAGAGTCTCATTGTCCTGAATTCTTCCCTGCAATGTGGCTTGCTGTATTACATTTTCAAGTACAGCATGAGACTTAGATGTATATAAGCTTTATCTCAATCTGGAATAATTTTTGGCTGCTATTTTTGTTAAATGCATTTTTATTACATCATAGTTTACTTACAAAATTTGATACAATTTTTAAAAATGTAGCTCACTTAAAAGACATCCTTAATTTTCCCAAATAATATTGCCATTTCTATTGCAATGTTTAATCAAAACCATTATGCTTTTGCCGTTCAATTAAATGATTAGATATTTTAACATATTATACTGATTCCCAGAAAAAAAAAATCAGGGAAGAAAACTGAAACTTGCTTTCTAAGAGTGTTTTACTACCAATTCTTCAAGCAAAGGCAGTGTTCAATTAGCACTAATAAATAAAATGCTAATAGATCTCCTAAAAATTGCGGATGTGTTCCAGTTCAATTTAAAATTTAATTCTAACTTTATTAATATATGGACTAAAACTAGATTCAAATGAATTAGAGAACACAGAATGAAGCTTTTAAAATCAGACTAAAGAAGGCAGAAGAGAGCTTCTGTTTTTAGCTATGCCATAATTTTCACAAACTGCCACTTCTATGACTTTGCAGTAATCAAAACCATCAAAACAAATAAATCACTGTGCTTTGAGGTCAAGCAGTCATACCCATAACCTTAAAGTCCTGATTTATTAACATGGAATGTGCCAGAAAATATAATGCAAACACACTTTATCTTTAATAATGAAATTCTATGGGGCAACTCATTAGCTTAATTCATTAATTTTATATCAAGCACAACACAAATGCTTCCTAATGATATATTTAAAAAATTATATTAACTTATATTTTAAATAAAATTTTATTTTCTTTCATTAATCACTTTTTTTTGAAGGGGAAAATTTAAACTTGGAAACTTTGGAAACAAGTTTCTACGCAGTAACACCACCAAAAGTATCACTGTTGCCAGTAGTCATACAATTATTCCAACTGTGAGAAAGATTAATTTTAAATATTGAAACCTCATTCGAATTCAGAAATATGCACATGTATTCTCCCTCTTCTCTCAAAATAGCATTATCTTATTGGCAATGAGATTATAGGTTCACATGGGTTTCACATTTTTTACACATTTCAAAATAATTAGAATGGCAAACTTTTTTTTTTTTTTTTTTTTTTTTTCCCCGAGACAAGGTCTCTCTCTGTTGTCCAGGCTGGAATGCAGTGGCACAATCTCAGCTCACTGCAGCCTGGACCTCCTGGGCTCAAGGAAACCTCCCACCTCAGCCTCCCAAGTAGCTGGTATGACAGATGCATACCTCTACTCCTGGGTAAGGTTTTTAATTTTTTTTATAGAGACAAGTTCTTGCCATGTGGTCCAGGCTGTTCTCAAATTCATGGGCTCAAGTAATCCTCATGCACTGGTCTTTTAAAGTGCTGGGAATAGAGACATGGGCCACTGTGCCCAGACAAAATGATAAACATGTTTAGTTAACAATTTTTAGGGAAAAAAAACTCACTAATTGTATACTATATTGTGAAGTATCAATGTTTAATTGTAATTTCCTTTCAAACTGTCTTTTTATTTTTGGTTATTAAAACTTAACAGAGGTTCCTATGGTTAAGCTGCAATCTTTTAAAGTATTATGTTTAAATGTAGGATGCAAACTATTTTTAATATGTGTAAAACAAAAAATTAAGCTAGATAATTATTCTGTGCTTATGTAAGATATTAACATAAGGGAATGCCAGATGAGGGATATGTAGAATTCTCTGTACTATCTTTGTAACTTTTATGTAAGCCTTAAACTATCTCTTAAAAAGTTACATTTAACTTTGACCCAACAATTGTTATAAAGCTTTATCAATGGGGTGGGGAAATTTCAACAGTAGGTAGTAAGTAAACAAATTACATAATATCTGTAAATCATACTCGTTGAAAATTGTGTACATCTATATTTATTGTGAGAAATTAAAAATTAATTAGAACTGTAAAATTCAGCCCTGCCAATCCTGGGCTAGAATAAGACAAGTAATGCCAGCTGCAAAGTTAACAGGAATCACCCTTTCTCCCAAAGATTAGCTATTACACAATCAAGAGCAGCTTAAGGATACTCTTTTATGAATGAGTACTGTTTTTCTACTCACCGAGAAACCCTGTTTGCTGTCAGAAACTTTGATGTTTGAAATTATGTAAATAAGAATGAAACCTCCCACTCTTGCCTAGGGTTGTTAAGTTACTTTGACTCAGGGAAACCGCAGGAATTGACAACTCAGGTGCAGAGGTTCAGATAAGCGGATTCTGGACACCGCTCTCCATAATTATCTCAACTCTGTAGTTTACAAGGAGAAAGGACTCTCAGTTTACACTGCAGTCCAAAACTGATGTTAGTCCCTTTAAATAGTCTTGCTTTGTGCCTGCTTACAGTAATGTCTTATTTACATTTCACCTAAGCTCCATCACTCCCTACACACTGCTATAACTCTCTTTCCCTTAGTTTGGTGAAAGCTCCCAAAGTTTTTCTGCTGTGCAGTCTCCTTCATTATACCGAGGTAATAAACCTGATTTTGTCACAGTAGAGACTGTCAGCGGTGGTACTATGTTGACTGAGCTAGGAAAATTGACATTGGAAAACATTAATAATCTTGCTTTTTTCCTATCTTCTTTTTTTTTGAGATGGAGTCTTGTTCTGTTGCCCAGGCTGGAGTACAGTGGTATGATCTCAGTTCACTGCAACTTTCATCTCCTGGGTTCAAGTGATTCTCTTGTCTCAGCCTCCTAAGTAGCTGGGGCTGCAGGCCCACCACACCTGGCCAATTTTGTATTTTTAGTAGAGATGAGGTTTCACCATGTTGGCCACGCTGGTCTCACAACTCTTGACCTCAGGTGAACCACCCACCTAGGCCTCTTTGAAGTGCTAGGATTACAGGTGTGGGCCACTGCGCCAGGCCAGTAATCTATTTTTAAGCGGGGGGGAATTCCCTATAAAGTATTACATATACTCTACTATTTTTGCAAAGTAAAATTATTTATGTATTCAACTTAGGGAAAGAAAAAAATCTAGGTAGATTCATTCAAAGAATGAATAATGGTACTGATCTAATGAGGAAGTGTGGGAGATTATGGTAAGTCCAACTATCATTTTCTATGTTGTGTGACTGTTATCTTAATAATGAGCAATTCATTTTTATAATCAAAGACTTCTTAAAAATATTTTGAATAGACCTTTGCTCTCAAAAATAATTAAAAAACGAAAGTAAAAAGAAATAATCTGTACCTTAAATCTGAATAAGCCATTGTCATTAACTACTGTTCCTTTCAGATGCTTAGACTGAAGATACAGACATAACAAATATTCTAAAATTGGAAGTTAAAAAGATGACAGTATTGATGTAGACAACCTAAGACTTTTTTGGAAATGATGGCTTTTTCTTCTCCTTTGTAATCAAGTCAATTCTAGACCTTTCAATGCAGGTAGATCTAATAGTTATAATTGCCCCTCTACAGATTAAAAGCTTTTTGATAATTCAGAGTTTAGGAAATCAATGATGTCAAAAGTCCACTTAGAAATTTCTTTCAGAGGCAGCTGAATAACCTTCTATACACTGAGATTGTTTTTATGATTCACTTTCATAAAAAGGAAAATTCATTAGATAAAATGGCCAATTTATCAGCATTTCATAATCACTAATAATCAGTGTTTCATAATCATAGTGAATAGTTTAACCAATTTATCTTTGGAAAAATTCCAGCTATAAGAGCAATGAATCTCATACTTTACATCTAAATGAAAACAATGGTTTCTCTCTTTTTAACAGGTTTAAATTGTAATACTAGGCTTAGGAATTACAACTGTGAGAATGTAAAAATCATAAAAAATTGCAGACACTGCATTAGAGGTGTTATGGAAGGTAAGGAAGACCTTGTGTTGTAATAGTAAGATATATATATATTCTATGTTAATAAGATATATTAATATATATTGAGAGGTTATATATTAATTATACACACACACATATATACATACATAGAGAGAGAGAGAGGGAAATCATTCAATATTTTCCTTATAGCAAAATCAAGAGATATAGATGTTGTTTGTATTAAACATAACTGGTTGAATACATTGTGGTTTTCAACATACATTTAAGCATAAAATTTCAAGTACAAACAGGAATCTAAGAAATTATTTCCAATATATTTTGATAGAAATATAAACTATCCATGTGCAGTAAATAAAAAAGCCAATCATTAAAAAATTCTGGAATTTTAGATCATCTTAACATTTAGTAAATTAAATCATTTTAGTATGCAGTTAATCAGGACAGGACCACATTTTCTCCAAAGAATATTTAAAGATTCTTAAATCAGAAGTTTTCATCACATCTTCAACTCACAGGAATATGTCCATGCTACTACATAAGGAAATCATAAGAGTCACAGGAGGAAATTTAAGCATATACTAAACAAAAACTTTTGAAGCAAAAGGATACAACAAATAATTAAAACATTCCCTATAAAAATCTGATTCCGTCTATGGCCATACCACCCTGAACGCACCCGATCTTGTCTGACCTCGGAAGCTAAGCAGGGTTGGGCCTGGTTAGTACTTGGATGGGAGACCACCTGGGGGGATACCGGGTGCTGTAGGCTTTAAAAAAAAAAAAAAAAAAAAAAAAAGGAAAAAAAAAATCTGATTACAAAGCCCTCAATTAATTAATTAATTCTCTCGTGGCTGTTCTGAACAGGCAAGATTTCTTCTTATTCCAGACTGAAATATTCCAAGCAATGTTAGGCTTTTCATCATGAGTACATTCGTTTGTGAAAGGCAAGAGACACTAAAGCTACAAGTTGATTTTGCAGATTTTTCTACGAATCACTCTAGGTGCCTATAAGGAAATACTAATAAACATGAATGATGATTCCACAATAAAAGACAATGATTCTGACAATTATTCATCATTGAGGTAATACCACATAGAAAGTACCACACTGACACTCTAGTATTTGAGCAAGTCCTTTCATTTTTACTTTTTAAAAATTTGAGTACATAAAAGGAGAATAGAGAGGTTGTTGGAAAAAGTAGATTTGTTTTTTAACATGTTAGACAATCCTAGTCAACTTATTTGGATTTTATTATTTTTGGTATTTTATCCAGCAAATGAGCTATCAGAGGCTTATATTCTAAATCACTTTCTCTTTGACTTGCATAACCGAATAATTTTTCACGGGGAAGCTCTAGATTTATCCTCTTAAGGATTAAGAATTAATCCTTATTGGGGCCCAAAATTTATATTTTTATATTAATTATTTAATTTCTGTTTGAAACTCAAATTTCAGATAAAAAAGAAGAAATCTTTCTTGAAAGGGCAACTGTAGTAAGAGTTTAAATCTCTGTGAATGGTTAGAATTGTATCTGGCACAAAGTAAATGCTAAATCTATATTTAAGAATGAATGAATGAAGATATAAACTACAGGGTTCCAAACACATTTCCTTTAATTTACCAAATTTATATACATAGCCCACATTGTGTGGGCACAAAACAAGGCATTGCAAATTACTATAGAAATAATCTACATGCTCTGTATTTTATAATCTATTTTTCTCTATATATAAATACCATATTCTCTATATTTTATAATTAAGTACAGTACAATGAAGACAAAGTTAAGATCAAGAGGAACTGTAAAGAAAGTAAAGTAACTTTAAAAGTAGGGTATTCCAGGACAGGCGGGGTGGGGTGGCTTACACCTGTAATCCCAGCACTTTGGGAGGCCAAGGGTGGCAGATCACCTGGGGTCAGGAGCTCAAGACTAGCCTGGTCAACATGGTGAAACCCCCATCTTTACTAAAAATACAAAAATTATCCAGGCATGGTGGTGGGTGCATGTAATACCAGCCAGGAGAATTGCTTGAACCCAGGAGGTGGAGGTTGCAGTGAGCCAATATTATGTCATTGCACTCCAGTCTGGGCAACAAGAGTGAAACTCCATCTCAAAAAAAAAAAAAAAAAAAAAAAAAAAAAAGTGGGGTATTCCATGGTGTATGTGTACCACATTTTCCCCTATTTTCTTTAATCAGTCTATCATTAATGGGCATTTAGGCTGATTCCATGTCTTTGCTGTTGTGAACAGTGCTGCAGTGAACCTATGTTTGCATGTGTCTTCAAGATAGAATGACTTCTATTCCTTTGGGCATATACCCAGTAATGGGATTGCTGGGTTGAATGGTATTTCTGTCTTTAGGTCTTTGAAGAATCACCACAGTCTTCCACATGGCTGGACCAATTTACACTCTCACCAACAATATATAAACATTCCTTTTTCTCCACAATCTTGCCAGCATCTGTTATGATCGACTTTTTAATAGGAGACATGCTGACTGGTGTCAGATGGTATTTCATTGTGGTTTTGATTTACACTTCTCTAATGATGAGTGTTGTTATGCTTTTTTTCATATGATTGTTGGCACATGCATGTCTTTTTTTGGAAGTATCTGTTCATGTCATTTGCCCACCTTTCTATGGGGTAGTTTCTTCTTTCCTTGTAATTTTGTTTAAGTTCCTTATAGATGCTGGATATTAGACCTTTGTTGGAGTGCTATGCAGCCATTAAAAAAGAGAGGGAGAGTGCATATCTTTTGCAGGGACATGGATGGAGCTAGAGGCCATTATCCTTAGTAAACTAACACAGAGACATAAAAACGAATACCACATGTTCTCACTTATAAATGAAAGCTAAATGATGAGAACACATGGACACATAGAGGGGAACAACACACACTAGGACCTTTCGGAGGGTGGAGGCTGGAAGAAGAGACAGGATCAGGAAAAATGACTGATGGGCACAATGCTTAATACTTGGGTGAGGAAATCAGCTGTACAAGAAACCCCCATTACACAAGTTAACCTATGTAACAAATCTGCACTTGTACCCCTGAACTTAAAATAAAAGTTAAAAAAAATAAAGAAATAAAGAAGGGCACAAAAAAATCAAACAACTGAAATAAAGGTAGGGTAACATTAGGCTAATAGGGATCAAGAGTGACTAGGTAGTCAAAATGTGACACATCCCATGTTTACAAAGTGAAAAAACGGGTATAAATGTTTGTGAATCATTTCTGACACTTTTCACGTCAAGACGCTGCATTGATTGAATATCAAATTTTATAGATTTTCTTGTGTTTCTCATTTTATCATTTTTTAATGGCATACTCATGATCTATGGTGTTTAGTAACATGGCCCAAAGTTTAGTCATTTTTATCTTCCCCTAGAAACTGAGACTCAAGACAACTCTCATAGGTAATGTGAGTTTACTCTTTTGAGATCCTATTTCAACATTTGTAAATTAAGTTGAACCATGTAATGCCTGAAATGTATTTATAATTATGTTTCTAATTTTAAAAGTCAATGAATTTTTTAATTCAAATCTTAGCAAAGTATTTGACGCAAGTTAATAAACAAATCCTAAAATGCTAATGACAAAGTAAAGTATTAAGATGATCCTGGACAGCTTTGGAGAGGAAGGAAAAAGTGTTTAAATGTGGAGAGGAACAGCAATGTTCATTATACATAAATGAACAAGTGGGGAAGAATAAGGGAGGCCATATATTACCTACACACATGCAGAAACATGGTATATGAAGCAGCAGCATTGAATGTGAATGGAAAAGAACAGATTATTTAACAAATGGTGATGAGAAAACGATCTAAATATTTGAAAAAATTAACCTGATCATAATCTGACACCAACCAATAATAATTCAGGTGAATGGATAGCTCACATATGAAAATTAAAATGTGAAATGATCAGAATAAAATGTAGGAGAATATCTTTATGATTTTAAGGCAGGAAAAAATTTCTCCAGAAATGAAAATAATATAAATCTGTATATTTAGCTCTAGTATGCTAGTGTTAAAACAGTCTTAAAGACAGTCTTGCTGACTCCTTAATATTTAGAGAAAAAAATTCAACTCAATATGCAGATAGAGAAATAAAGTCAAGGAATATAGGTAATTGGAAAATTAAGTATATGTTTAATAGTTTACATGATTGCTTTAATTTTAGTGCAACTTTTTTCAACATTTTAAATCAGAATACTTTGATTCAAAATGCAAATATCTGATTAAAGGTTGCTTTAAAATTGCATTTTTATTTAAAATTATTTTCTAAAAATTAAAAAATGATTGCTTTAATAATGATGCAATGAATGCAGTAAAATATGTTATAATATATTCAAATTTCCAGTTAATACATTTTAGTGAGATCTTAAAAAGTAAATATATCATTGTGGGATAATTGAGAACAAATTAATTTCACGACCATGTAAATATAATGTAAAGCAGAAAAAAAGGGGGTATACTAAGAACACAAGCAAAGCACCATAAATAACTGAAAGGGGGAAAAGCAGAAACCACATAGTGTATATGACATCTAGAAAAGCTTGTAAATGAGGTGGCTTTGTAAATGGTCTTAAGTGGCAAGTAGCACTGTGACAAGCTGTGATAGTAGGAGGATAAAAAATTATTATATAAACATAAATATGTATAATAAAAAAACTGGAAGTGGGCAAATTATCAATCCATATTTAAATAATGATGCAATGCACACAAGGCGCTACTCTTGACTATGACAGCAAATCTCTATTTTTGCAGCTCATCCTGACCCTTCCTGGCACTTTTTGGCTTGGCTTCTATACAGTACTTCTGCTTCCAGTCCTGCCTACACTAATCTAGACTGCACATGTACAAATATTACTGTGTTACTCTGACCTAACGAATGTGACCTAACCTGTGACACTTCACACACAAGTGGCACTGAGGAACAATGGCAGGTATTCTGTGACTTCTGTGCCTTTGCCTTGCCCATGTTGCTCTATTTGCCTAAGCAAATCAAGCACAATATTGAAAATACATGTATGAAAACATGAAAAGCTATGCATGTTTAACAAGTTCATGTGCAAGGATTTTAATAAATGGAGGAGAAAAACAGACTCCCTATGGGAGTCAGCCATTGGACACATCATGCTTATTTTACAGATGAGGTATGGAGCTTGAAAGACAATGGCCTCAACCAATTGTCCCTATTTTCAAAGCTCTTTCTCTGCGTTACATTTTGGTGATATTCAGAACTTGGTACTCTTGAGGTGGGGCTTAAATAATGTTAATAATCTGAAGTACTGGGCTTCCCTGAAGTAGAAGTCTGTGGAGAGCTGTTTCAAAGACAAAAACAATGAATGTAGTCTTTGATAAGCTCCAGCTAAGTCATAAAATCACATGTTATAAAAATCAACATCAATGAGATGGAATAGAAGCCATTTCAGAACCATACTATTACATATAGCGTATTTCTGTAAAGGCTTTTCATGTTTTAAAATAAGTACAATTGAGAACATGTCTTAATTTTTTAGTACATCTAAAGTGATGCAAGCATCTTAGGGTTTCAAAGATGGTAGACTACACACATTAACAGGAAAAGTGATAAGGAGATCTGAGCCATCATTAGTAATTAGCGACATTACCTTTGAGATTAGTTGAGGCACTCATCAGGGACTATCAATGGCTCCAATTAAATTGGGGAAAAACTATATAAAATAGGAGCCTTAGAATTATTGTAGAGTATTCAGAAAAAGCGTATCATGTGCTACTCTAG